CCTATACATAAAGGGACCCTTAAAATGTGAAGTACGTCGAAAAATATTGAAAATGAAATTTTATTGGATCATCTAAATAGATAGTCTCCATCGAAATTAGGACATTGGAAAAAAATACAAATTAAATCACAAAAAACGTTTATTAACCGTACTGTTATTTTATGAAAAGTAAGTGCGCATTTGACCTCCATCTCACTTGATGGAAAGTGACGATGAAGCCGACGATCGAGCATGCACACCTAAATAATGCCTATTCACTCTCGCCTAGAAAAGGTCCAAGTTATAGCGTTCAGGGAATAAGTCTGCATGCAGGGAATTCCACTCCATAGCCGTTCGCCATATAACTGTGGAAGCGTAACGCTTCGTGCGAATCTTTGGAATATCCACAACATAGGGGTGGTACCCAAGCCTACGTCTGGTCCCCCGATGATGGAAAGGGGAAAGAGGAATTAAATCGTGTAATTCCATCGCACACTCTCCGTGATATATCCTGTAAAGTACCGATAAGCAGGCAACTTTACGGCGATATTCAAGGATCTGCAGCTTCGCCTTCACCAATTCTGAGTCACTTATAAGCCTCTTGCCACGGTTGTTGATTGAATCCAAGGTGGCCAGTTGGTATATACCAGAGCCATCCCAAAGGTGGTAGCAGTACTCCAAACACGTCCGGACTTGTACTTGGTACAGCTGGAGCAACTGTCCCGGTGTAAAGTAACGCCTCACCCTGGAAAGGATGTCAAGCTTCCTTGTTGCATTTTTGGCCATGGATTCAATGTATCTGCCGAAGTTCAAATTGGACGACAGGTCCATTCCAAGCAGCTGGAGACGGTCGGCTATCGGTATGGATACATCACGAAAAGTCGGAGTCAGCTCAAAGGGACTCCGTTTTGTGGAGAATAAACACGCCTGAGTTTTGATAACGTTAAATTTGACTAGATTGGCATCGCCCCATTCGAAGACTGCCTTGAGTGTCAAATCCAAACTGCTGACCATGGACTCTCGACAAGACTGGATTACCTCTCCACTGACCCTTGCATTGGTGAAGTACCTATCTACAACTATGCTGTCATCAGAATACGCAAAAATACCTGGAATTAACATATCATTGATATGCAGCAGAAAAAGAGTTGCAGACAGTACGGAACCCTGAGGAACTCCGGCGTCTATCGCCATATGTTCGAAAGAGTAGCAGAGTAGAGTAGTAGAGTTCGGTAGAGTAAGACTACTCGCAACGAACGCTCTCTCAAGAAATCCGAGACCAAATTGCAAAGGTCAGTGGGAAGCCCATAAGAGGGGAAAGCTTACTTAAAAGGCTTGCGTGCCAGACCCTGTCAAAGGCTTTAGAAATGTCTAAAGACACTGCAAGTGCTTCGCCTTGCTTTTCTATAGCCCCGCTCCATATGTGACAGGCATACACAAGATCCTCAGTAAATCGCCCTCGCCGGAATCCGTACTGGCGATCACTGGGGAGGTCGTTGTCTTCAAGGCACGACAGAAGACGGTTGTTGAGTACACGTTTCATAGTCTTGCAGAGTATGGAAGTGACTGAGATAGTGTTAGTTGACAGGGTCAGCTCTGCTTCCTTTTTTTGGCACAGGTTGTACGTTTGCAAGCTTCCACGATCTAGGGCTAGTCTCAAGTGAGAGGCGATATAGGCGTGTGAGAGTGGGAGACAACTCAGTCTTCTGGACAATTTTGTTACTCGTTATAATATCTATAAACTAAAAAAACTAAATAAATAAATAAATAAATAAATATAGAAATTTATATAGACCAAAATGTCTTAAAACTATCCAAGGTTATGATGCAGTATACATTCTCCTTTCTCCATTTTGGTTGCAGTTAGTGACTTCGCAGCGTGGGCCCAAACTGATAATTCTTGGACATAGGAATAACTTGTGGTGTATCGAGCTAATTTTTTGTATGTGATAGATAATAACATTCCTAACAACTTTTATTCTTGTATAATTTCTTTAAAAGTTGATAATTTAGGAGAAGAAAAAAAATTGTATGGAGAAATATACATATTATTTTTTTTCTCAAAATGTACGAAAATGTAATGTGAGTGTATTAGTAGTTCCAATTATTCTCTATGTAGAAAAAAATAATCTATCTGCATATACTTGCGGCTTTGTAAGTAAAGATGTGGCAAAATTGCTAACTTTTTCATGTGCTTTTTTAACAAAATAGATGAGCTTCGACTAAAGAAAAAATTATTTAAGTGTAATTTAGAGTGTGTTATAATAATAACACGAAAGTTATGTAGAAATTAATATATTGTGTTAAAAAATAAATAACAAATCTAAAATTTTGCCACCTTTTTACTCGTAAAGCAGCAAGTACCTACAGATGGATTAGTTTTTTCTTGATAGAGAATGATTGTACCTATACTGTAAATATACCACACGCATTACATTTTCATAAATTTCGAGTAAAAAAATAAAATGTTTATTTCTCCAAACGAAAAAACTAAAAATTTTTTCTCTGAAACAATCAGCTTTTAAAAGTTATCACAGTCACGGTACAACTCTGTATTTCGAAAATTGTTCCCATGAGTAAATAATAATTTCAAACATTTTGAAAATAGCTGAATTTCCGGTGTTTTTTAATACCTAATTTATGCTGGGTGGTCGGGCTTTATGCGTTGTTCGTTATGTTGACATCCGTTGATGGGTCGTTTGTTTTGTTACCCATATTGGTGCATATTAAATGCACGTCAAGTGAAAAGTGAATCTCATGTGGTATTTTAATTATTGTAAGGAAAATCCGACAAATTCTAAATTTTTGGAATAAAATTTCGCTACACACTGTTTACTATACGTAGTTATTATTAGTACTTGTAATTTACCTATAACAATTCTGTAGGTAATGGATGGAATATATTATATATGGAATATATATAAAAGTATTTTTTTTTTAAATATACATCTTAGCACTCGGAAGATTCATTCATTTTATTTTTGGTGGGTACTCTAAAGACTGAAACGAAATAAATATTAGAATAGGAATTATTGAATTATTAATTTATTTTGTTATGCATCGTAACTTTAATGACTAATTTGTTTTGTTGCAATAGTAAGTGCAAAACAAATTAGTCATCGAGCGATGCTCTTCTCTGATTGATCGCTATTTTAGCACTCACTCCCACAACCACTAGTTGTGAGTCTATTATGTTTTATAATAAGTGCGTCATTAGTGACTCTACTCATTTTGTGCTTATAGCTCGATTGTGAAAGTACTTCTCGACCGGCAAAGGCTACAAACGTTATTCAGAACATAGTTATCGAATAAAAGTTACCGAACGTCCGATTGTTTACAAAGCAAGAATGTAATATGGAAATGTCTTATACTAGTAAATAAAGTTTGGGTTTTGTTCAATTTTATCAATTTATTTTAATGCAAGACTAATGCATTCCTATATTTTAGGCCTTTAGAGTCTTAAAAATGTATATAAAAGGATTTTCATTTCGAGTTCTTAGGTTTTCGCGATTGTTACACATAGGAAATGAAACTATTTTTCACCATGTCAACCGTGACCATGGGACCTGTAAAGGGCCCGAAACGTCGGTTTGTTTGAAAAAACAAATATACGCGATTTAAATCCGGAAAAATAGTTTCATTTCCTAGGATTTTCATTTTTTTCAATCTATTTCACCGACTAATCTGTAAATGCTGTTGGATAACGACATCGTATCCGAATCCGAATCGAAAAAAACATTTTCTTTTTTATCTCAAATGTAGGGAAATGTAATGTGTGTGGTATATTTACAGTGTAGGTCCAATAATTCTCTATAAAGAAAAAATAATCCATCTGCAGCTACTTGCGACTTTACGAGTAAAAAGGTGGCAAAATTTTAGATTTGTTATTTGTTTTTTAACAAAATATACTAGTTTCCACTTAACTTTCGTGTTATGTTATAAGACTCTCTAAATTACCCTAAAATTATTTTTTCTTTAGTCGAAGTTCATGTGTTTAACCGATTTCAAAAAAGGCTGAGGTTCTCAATTCGACTGTATGTTCTTTTTTTTCTTTTTTTTTTGTATGTATGTTACGTGATAACCCCGGTATTTGTGAACCGATTTTCATGATTCTTTTTTTGTTGGGAAGGGGGTACTTCCATAGTGGTCCCATTTTATTTTGAAGAAAATCATCCACCTTTAAGGGTGGCTGTTCGCGCATGAAGATTCATTTTTATAAATAGCGCCTAACTTTAATTTAGGAGCAATTATTTTAATGGTTGATTTTGCTATTTCTCTAATTCAAGGCGTTTTTCTCTCGATACACTTTGAGTAGTGAGAACCGATTATTATTATCTCAAGTTCAAGTCCTGTATAGTGGCGAACTAGGGGATATTTCAATAAAACTTAGCAAATAGACGTAATTCCCACGTACTTTTGAGGTCGGTTTTTTTAGTACTCTGTACTGAGATTATTATTTGTTAAAAAAGTTATCAATTTTGCCGCACCTTTATTTACAAAGCCGCTAGTACATGCCGAAGGATATTTTTTTCTACTTAGAAAATTATTGGAACTATACTGTAAGTAACTCACGCACATCACATTTTCGTATATTTTGAGATAAAAAATAAAATATAGGTATATACCGAAACTATCAACTTTTCAAGAAAGTATACAAGAATAAAAGTTGTTAGCTCAATACTCCACAAGTTATTCCTATGTCCAAGAATTATCAATATGGGCCCACTGTGTCTCGTTGTGAACTAAAAGTCTACGATTCGAAAGAAGATAAACAAAAATAATATCTCTGCTTTTTATTGCCATTGTCATTTGTTGTTTATTCTTATGCGCTTTTGACATATGTATCAAACTAATACAAAACTACAAGTTAGACTACGTATGCAATAATCATGGATTTATTTAATGGCAAATGATCCGTTTGCCACAAAAACTATAGAATAATGTTTGAAAATACAATATAAATAAGTGTACCCAAATTCGAAAGCAGGCAAGTACTTTTAAAAAATGACAAGAGAACGCCACGTTAATAATACCGACGCAGACAACCCGTTCGAACGCGACCGGGGCTCTGGCCATAAGACTATGGCCAGAAATGGCGAAATTAGAGGTCAAAAAAGTCAGAAAACAAAACCCGAAAGGCCCGAAAGGCCCGAAAAGCCAGAAAGACCCGAAAGGCCCGAAAGGCAGAGAAAAACTACCTCATCCGGATCAAATGTGGGGTTTTTCAAAAAAGATGTCTGTGTCGACTTTCGTGACTCCAACGTCCAAGTGGTGATGGTCCTGGGCCTCTTAGCTATCATGGTATTAGCTCTATGGTACGGATTCACACAAGGATGCTTTAGACCTAGCCCTGCTTTAGAGGAAGTTAGACCACCAGAACGAGAACGACGACGGACGGGTAGTAGTCGCGGGTTAGCTTACGATTTATAATTACAACCTGTATGCAATTATTCACGTATATATACGCCTACTAACGACATCAAACACCACTAGGTCTTGTACGATTGTCAATGTGTATTGCTATAAGTAATTGCCAGTTTTCGGTAATAAGATGATAATGACATCTTTAGTAAAGTAAGTTATCTACATTAATGGTGATTGTAGGTAGAAACGTGTTAAATAGGTAAGTACAGATAGGTAAGAACTATGCTCTGCGGTTTGTTATCTTTTCTATATATTTGTTTTTTATTTTATTTTACCCAGAAAATCAGAAGATTTGAATACTCTTGTAAAACTTACAACCTTACCCCATGCATCGTTAAGAGCCCACTGTTGAAATAACAGGAAATTACTTCCGTTTATAAAGAGAAACCACGAAACACTGATTTACCTGAACTTGAAAAGTAGGAAAAGTTGTTGATAAACCGCAATAACTGCAACACGGCATATGATGCATCCTGTTGCGCCTTTATTTACCGACAATAGCACATCGTTTCGTAACCTGCGGTCTACAGACCCCTGGATGCCAGTGGAGGTTCGCGGCCTCACTCTAATTATATTATTAAAATAAACCAATTTAATCGCACTTTATTTTTACTACGACATCAAAGATACATATGTCTCCGTCTCACTCATAGATCCTGATGGGCGTAGAATATTTATATCTCCAATAGGGCTAGCACGCTGTAAAAGCGCGACGCCACTAGCGAGACGACAAAACTCTCTCGCAGTTGTCAATTTTTACCGTTTTACGTAGCACGACATGACATGCCGACAAACGTAGGCTCCGCGAGTAGCTTCAGTTGCGGGCGACATAGTATGTGTTACCATTTACATAAAAAATATTCAACTTGCGTTATATTCTTATGTGACAACACCGAATCGGTGATAGAGATACACCGTTTCATTCCTTCATTGAGTGAATTAGAAAACACATTGACGTCACATCTGTCGAAATTCTAAGGGTCGTATTCCAGAGCTCTACTCAATGCTCAAGTCAGAACTTGAGTATAATTTCAAGCACTGGAAATACGGCCCTAATGGCAAGGACTTGAGTATGATTTCTAGTTTAGTCTTTAAATCATACTCAAGTCCTGACTTGAGGATTGAGTAGAGTTCTGGAATACGACCCTAAGTGATTTTGAATCAACATGGCGCTAATTAGGAAAAATGTAAGTTTTTATTGAATTAATTTTGCTTTTCTTACGACTTTCGGTAGTTATAGTACTGTCATTTGTTGAATTGCACTCGTACATTATTTTCGAACAAATTGTTTTAGATATACTAACTTGTTTCAACGAAACAGAAAATCGTTTACAAAATACATAATAAAATTGTAAAAGTAAATGTTACTGCAATTGAATGTATTTGCATTATGCTTGTGATAGCATGTATACATTACTTGCGTTTACCGTAGAATACAATGGTATGCACCTAGTTTAGCTTAGTGTTATTTACTATGTAACTAATGTAGTCAAACTTTATATAATTTCAGAGTACGAAGCTAATAAATTTAATAAAACCTGATGGACTACATGTCGTGCCAGAAGATGGAAGTCGAACGTCTCCGCTTGCAGCAATTGCTAAAGAAAGCAGGGTCGGACAAAAGCGTGGTGAAGTAGAAGCACGTTAGTAGTATTTCTTAAAAATTGTATTGAAAAGACAAGACAAATTATTTGTTTCATTACTTCAGTCATGAAACAGCTGGGGGATAAAAGATTTCGTCAGTTCTGTGACGTTACAGATTCATGGAACAAATAGGAAGTACCCGTTTCCCTTATTACTAATATAGAGTTTATACAAAATTTCAACTTGTTGGCTGTCATAGGCACAGTCAAGGGCACTAACATGTATACAACCTACCAACTTACCTAACCTCGCTCAAAAATGTGTATACACATATCTTATGTTACTCATTATAAGGTATATGTGAAAATGCATCGGAGCGGTTGGTATACATGTTGTTGGTGAATGTATACATGTTATTCACATACATAAATACATACAACAGGTTATTGTACTGTTTTTAATAAGTATTCTTTATTTTTTAGACGTGGCTTGGCAGAGTTTGCTTATCACTTAAGTCGTTATTGTCAGACATAGCAGAAATAAATGTGATGGAGGTACAGCTTGGAAGTCTACTAGACTCTGAGTTAGAAGACGATACCTGATCCTGAGATAAAAAAAAATACTACTTGTATGGTCATAACCATTTTTTCACTGTGGATTAAGCCTCTTTACTTAGGTAATAACACTGATTACTTTAATTAGTGATTATTTATCTCAAAACCTTTAATTGTTAGTTACCTGTATGAAAATAAATTGATTTATCAAAGTTGTACTATCATTTAACCACTTGTAAAATTATATTTACGTATTTTCTATAGAAATACTCATTTAAGCCTGACACAAGTCATAGTATTATATTCTAACTGTATTCTACATTATATTTTTTATAAAGTTATTTTTATAAAACACTATACAAATATTTTTTATTGCACACAAGAACAAAATACATTTAAAAAACCAAAAGACGGGTACAACAACAAGCGGCTTTATTTTAAGATTCTTCCAGACAACTTCCGAGTTACAGGATAAAATTAAAGGCAATAATTAGTTGAGGGCGCAAAAACTGCTATTGAATACGAATTTAATACAAATATTGTTCTTGCACTAATAAAAATAAAATACTCAAATAAATAAAAAATACATATACATACATACATAATTCTTTTACGATTAAGGCTGCAAAATTGTGGAACGATCTCCCATTTGAAATCTGACATTCTAAGTCGCTACCTATTTTTATTTACAAAACCGGATTGCGTAAATATCTTCTAACACGGTCCTAGTCTGCAACGTGTGAATATTTATTAGTAAGTATAAGTTTATTTAGGTATATTTATATATACATAGGTATAATATATAGCTGTTTATTAAATATTTTATAAATTACTATGTGTTTTTATTTCATTTATTTTGTATTTTTTTTTAATTTGTGAAATTGGCACACTACGTCTCCCGCTCCGATTAGCTTTCCTCTAACTCAAAGGTTATCTGGAAGAGATCGCTTTTAGTGATAAGACCGCCTTTGCCCACATTAGCTTTAAGTTGTTTATGTTACTATTCTTGTCCTTGTGTGTGAGCAATAAAGTGTTTATCTATCTATCTATCTATATCATTACGCTTACTTTCCATCGGAGTAGACAGAGACTATGGACCTCCACCTGCTATGTTCTTGACAAACCTTCGCCTAATCCACTCCACTCCAAAATATATATACTTACAAAAATTATAATCACTGAAGAAAGAAAGAGCGATAGGATTAAAAAAATATAACATAAATAATATAAAATCTAATAAATAAATATCAGTAGATAAAAATATTATTATAAATAGAGTAAGAATAAGAGAAAAGAATAATTAGAGTACCTATATGTTAAGTAGAAATGATATTTTTTTCTAGTAATATATTGATAAAAACAAAAACATTAACTTTTATTCCTCTGTCGCGCACCCTAAGCCTCAAAGACAAATATCTCGCACTTTGACGTTTAAATGCGAGATATTTGGCTCGAAATAAACAATCGTGCTACGCACTGCGAGAGCGTGTCGCACGCATCTGTCAATCGACAGACAAATGTTGCAATGACAAATAAATGCGACTCGACAAGCACCGTCGTGCTACCGGATCGCGACATACCAATATCTCGCGCTTCTATGTCGTTTCTCGCCCTGTCGTGCTAGCCCCACTGGTACAGTCAAGAACATATCAAGCTTGGCACTTTGTACTTTAGACCGTTCTAATCGTAAGCGGCATACAGTTGGATTTAAATCGTAAGTGTTAAGCTTGAAGTGCTCTTGATCTTGTACTTGACTGTACTTGACATTTTGGACCGTTTTTATCGTAAACGCAGTAGAATTGAATTTAAATCAGTGTCAAGCTTGACATACTCTTGATACTGTACCCTAGGTTTCACTAATCGATCGTACGTCTACGTATCGTAACGTACAAATTATATACTTAATAATTGGATAATGATTAATAATAACGCACACACTCAACATAGCCCCGCACTAGGGAAACCCTGTGTCGCGGCTGCCATGGACACACACATAGACAACCACAAATTACACCCATACTCATGAGAGATAAACCACAAATTACACCCATACTCATGAGAGATAAATGTAGGCCATACAAATATTTCTCTCGGCCCGGGAATCGAACCTGGGGGTGGATTCAAAACCTTACGATAACTCTGTTGTCGACCGATTCGATTTGATATCGTACGATTTCTGTTGATTTTTATTCGGAACCGCCGAATCGAGCGTCAAACTGTCGCATTCGAAACCGAACCCAAATAACATCACACCCGTACGATTACTGGAACTTCTGCCTTAGTGTCTATAGTACCATTGATTTGTACCATCAATGGTACAAATGAACTTCTCGATCGGCGAAGGCTACAAATGTTATTCAGAACATTGTTATCGAATGAAAGTTACCGAACTTCCTATTCTTTACAAAGCAAGAATGTAATATGGAAATCTCTTATTGTTCATTAAAATAAATTAATAAAATTGAACAAAATCCAGACTTTATTTAAAAGAGTTTTCATTTTTCTTATTATCTATTGCACTGACTAACTCCGTAAACGCTGTTGGATAACGATATCTGGGGGTCTACTCTCGATCTCTGTCCGACACCCGTCCGAAACAATTACTGCCAAATAAGCAATACTTTATACCAAATGAAAAGACGCGTGATGCGAATGAAGCTTCATACTTGATATTTGTCTTTTAATTTTGTTGAATATTATTTATTTGACAGTAATTGTTTCGGACGGATGTGGGACGGAGATCCAGAGTAGCCCCCCTTATCCGAATCCGAATCCGAATCGAACGATTAACCCGAATGTTCTGAATAGCGACGAGAACGAAATCCAATCGAACGATTCGGTTAAAATATCGAAGAGTTCTGAATCGGGGTTCTGGGACCTCTGCGTGGCAGTCCGGCATGGTAACCGTTCGGCCATGGAGGCAGTTTAATGATTAGCTCCTTTGTTTTAATTTTTTATATTTATTTTCATATCTCCTGATATAATTAATTACATTGGAAGAAATCTCATCGTTGTCAGGTGCAGAGATAACGAAGGTTAAGATATGTATGGGCTAAATATGTATCGGCGTTTGGAAGAGGCAACGGTGTATACCCAACGCGAAGATAAATATCTCCTCATCACCACCATTACAAAAAAGTGCTTCCTACTAAATAAAGTTACCAAGGGTACACCAGCAATGTAGCAGACGAATTTCATATTGCTTTATCGGAACGTTTTGTAATAAATATTGTAAACGTTCCTTTTTTTAGCTTAGAACACATATCATCTCTCCACTATTAATATAAAATTATAATGTAAGCTAGTGGCATTTTTTAATTATTTCACTATAGGCCTGAAGTATACCTGTAATAAATGATAAGATTGGCAGTACGTCTATTATTTTTATGTTGTCCAAAATACAAACTTGTATGTACATTTTTTATAATTTCAACTGACGAGACGAACAAGTCGTAAAAGTTCATCATCACACTAGAGGGATAAAAACTATACTTAAAGAAACTCAGCAGGGTGGCTAACAATATGTGGGGTGCCAGAAGATTTTTAGGGCAAAATCCTAATAATTATATTGTCAGCCTAATCATATTGTTATACAGCCGATATCTAACAAAGTAATAGGAATTCCTAGATTGCTTAGCCGTTAAGACGGATAACATTAAAACACTCCGGCAATTTATTGAAATTTATTAAAATGTACTGCGCATGTTACCTCTTAATAATACTAAGTAATACTTATAATCAGTTTTACTAAATTCAAATATTGCATGGCGATAATTATGTACGGTACGTGTGTTGTTGTACAATTTCTTATTTTGTACATTATCCATCGCACATGCAACCAAATACCGTCGTAACTCAAATTGTGTAATTAAACCAATAAATGTATATTCTCGTTTATAAATGGATAACTAAATATCGTGTTCAAATAAAAATAGCCACTTTATTCCTAATAAGATCCAGATTTTTTTTAATTTTTAAATCATTTTTCTCAATTCCACAATTTTGAGTTACAACAGTATTTGGTTGCATGCGCGCACGTGCGCTATGTACAGTCAAGAGCACATCAAGCTTGACATTGTACTTTGGACCTTTGTTAACGAAAGCGGCACAGAGTTGGACTTAAGTCTTAAGCTTGATGTGCTCTTGACCCTATCCATGATAGGTACCAATCAGATGCTATTCAGTAGTTTGATTTTAAGTTGTTAATTCATATTTACAAATTTCAAATTGTTTCCAAGTGTAAAAATTTTACCTATGGAATAAATGATTATCTGACTGACTTTGCCCAGTTATGTGCAAGGCAACATTAATAAGCTTTAAAAAAATATTAACAATAGCGAAAAGTGTTGGTTATTCCGAAAAATTTGAAATAGTGGAAAATTCCCGAAAAATTGTAAAAACTGGTGGGCTACACAGAACCAAATTCTTCTAAATTTTTGTCCTTGTATATTGATATTTGTTTATTATTATATACGTACCTACCCAATACATAATGTCAGATGATGGCTCTTTTCACTTGGCTTGCAACTCGTCTTCGTCTTTTCTTTCTCTTGATAACGCAGAATCTGAATTTCTTAATGCTGATACCCTAGGCGACACATTAACGCGCGAATTTCAAAATTTCACGAACCATCTGAACGTTTACCATATTAAAGCTCAAAGCATCCCTAGCCACTAATAACGACCTGCTTGACATTTTCTCTTCTTCTAATATTCATGCTATTCTCATTTCAGAATCCTGGCTTAAACGAAACCTTGCTTCTACTTCTTTTGATCTTCCTGGTTTTGTGTTACCTACTCCAGAATGATCGCACGAGTGCGTGTGCGGAGTTGTTGCTATTTACCTCCGTAATGACATCCCGTTCAAAATACTTTCTTCTTCTCCCTCTATATCAGTGCCTCCAGTGAAAAAAAGAATAACTCAAAATCGACACTTTTCAAGAGAGGCAAAATCCATATTCTTATTGATTATTAGTTGTTCGCATATATTATTAGTACATTTTATGATTTCTAGCTTTAAGCATACATCTAAGCCTTCGTTTAATTGGTACTGGTTAAACATTCAGTCATATTTTATAAATAATTTTAAGTTTTTTTCGAGTTGCGTTCTTGTTTATGTGTGCTTAACGGTAATAACACGACTTATGTAAACAAACTTTAAGACATAATTCGACTTGTTCATTTGACTGTGACTGTTCTATGGCTATAACAATAATAATAATAATATCAAATCAAATCAAGATTGAAAAATGCACTGGACAAGTGGAACAAACAGAATTTTCTTCCCCGTCATTATGGAACAATACGAAGTGTCTTTGTGTAAAATTATATCTGTAGTTATCTTTTGAGTTGAAAGCACTTGTACCGTTAGACTAATAAAAAATGTTCTATAACTAAAATTATGCCTTTAGAAACAGTAAGTTTGCCTTTAGTGTAATAAAGAAAACGACGTTAGGAGACTGCTAGAGAGATGTCCTTTTGATATGTTATGTAATCGGAATGGTGCAATAAAAACAAAAGGGCATAACTCGTCTTATTCCGTTTATCGCTGGAGGCACTGCTATAGAGGGAGAAGAAGAGAATCCAACTCTTTGGAACACTTGCGCGTCGAGATCAAGGTTACAAAAGTGACTCTTGGTGTTGTATATTGCGCTCCTTCTATAGATTTATTTTCTTCGTTTGAATCTTTACTTTCACCCTTTAGCGCTGAATACACACATCAAATAACCATGGGTGATTTTAATACCGACCTTTTGAAAGATAGCACGATAGCTCGCTCATTGAAGACAGTGAAGGAGTCCGCAGCTTTAACCTTTCTACTTCTTGAGCTTACTCATCACAATGTAGACGCGACGGATACCTGGGTAGATCTTATCCTCCTCCACTATCGATCACGTAGGTGGGGCTGGACAATTTTCCGTCCAGGTTTTTTACGACATTACCTCTTCTTCTTCTTTTAAATGTTATGGCTCCATCGAAATAATCAATGATTTTGCCAATGTCAAGTAAAAATAACTATGTACGGTAGTTTAATATTATTACAAAAATTTTCCTCATGTACTTGAATTACAAAATTAAACCACGTAAGGCACAGCCTGTCATAGTTCAATCACTTTGTAGCTTCGCAAGACTTGACATACCAGTGTTGAAAGAAGACGCGCGAGCTTAGACTATAAGCGCGCGAGCTATTGATTCGGGGCCTACATTGTCAGCATTGACAGTCAATGAGGCGGGGTCTCCTTTTTTTCCTTTTTTTTTCCATCCTCTAAGATTTTTTCCCATCCTTTATGCGGTGTCTTCTCTAAATTCGGCAGTCCTAAAACTATTTGACACTTATGTGCCAATTCGACAACCAAACTAAAGCATCCTCTCGCGCCGTGGTTAACTCGAGCAGTCCGTATTACTATGAAAGGCGATATCGTGCATTTAGAAAATACAAGTGCACTCAACACGTCAATTGCTTGAAAACATGAATTTTTTATTTGTTACTAATTTTTCCTGCTACATTAACGTGAGGAAAATTGACTCGATTTTAAGGCTGTAAGAAATAGATGTAATCTGATAGTAAGAGCAACCAAACGTAAACATATTTATGAAAATATGCTACATTCATCTCCCGTTAACACTTGGAAATTCTTGAAATTCATTGATGTAGGTAAACCGCAAAATTCGTGTAGCGTAACTTCTTCTTTCAACCTCATTTCAACCTGAAATGACTACCAACTTTGCTCAAAACTGCCGCTTTAGACCCCACACCAAACAACATGGTGTTTCGCTTATTAGAGATATGCTAAAATTTTAATTTTTTTTTTATTTTCAGGAACGTGATTTTGACCATCAAATCTGTTGGACATGATGACATAAGTAGAGTTATGGTAATATGTATTTTAGAATGTATTCTCCCTATTATCACGATCTCAAAATTTCTCGATTGTGTCTGGGTTTTCCCATTTTTGTAGCGAAATGCCCATGTAATCCCTCTTCCTAAAGTTACCAACCTTAGTTTATGTGATGTATGCAATAAGGGGTAGTTTTATGTTGACAATTAAGTAGGTATAAGTGTTTTTCTCTGTATTCTTTCTCTTTGTCTCGCTGAGAAAGAGACACGCTGGGCGAAGAAAGAAATCGTGGCTGCGGAACATCCGGGAGTGGCATTGCCTCAGTCGAACAGCTGTCTCGGTTGGCTGCTGATAGAGACGGATACGGGAAGCAGATGACGGCCAATCTTCAGCATGGAAGAGGTACTTTAAGAAGAAGAAGAAGAATTGATAACAATAACTCTGTGAATGTACACAGTGTGTGTAATACCTTCATAAAACAATGTTGAAAAGTTAATTTCTCAAGTTTACCGTGTACCAAGAATAAAACCCGGATCCTAGAGCAAAGGAAATAACACCCAGGCCAGAACCAATTTACAAAAGTTTATTTTCCAAATTGGTCCTACAGGGAAGCGTACCTATATGGCTTCCCGTATACAGTACGTCCCCCAAGGAGAGACGAGTTCGGTACGCTTTTCTAAGGGTCTAAACAACTGAAATACCGTACACAGTATGTCCCCTCGAAATAACCAATTAGATACACATTTCCAGTTACCACATAAGTTTAAGCGATTGAAAAACCGTATTTGGTAAGTCCATTAGGGGACGAATTAGATACGGGTTTTCGTAAGAAACACTCGTAAAAAAGCGTCTCTAATTCGTCACGTCGAGTAATTTGAGAATCAAAAACTCAAAGGTCATACATAGTTCAAACGATATTGTCTCTTATTGTTTTAAATAAACAGTGCAAAACGCAAATAATAAACACGGAAGCTATCTCAGTCCGTCTCACCTACAATGCCAATAAACACCTCCAAAATAGACGACTCTAAGCTCTAATTAGTTGCACGTTTGGTGATATTGGCATGTTTCTAAATAGACCAGAAATAATGATATAAATAACAACTGATTTCGCGCGAGTGCAGTGTCACAGTTCATTTCGATCTTGCATGTATTTTTTCGTAATTCGCGGCATAATTTCTAATTGATATCGTTTGTGTTTGAGTTAAGATTATTTAAAATGGATGAAGAACGATTTACAGGTCTAGTTAATAAAACTTGTGGCTGATTTTCAATTATTGAAGTATGAAAGAACGAATAACGAGAATTTCAAAGTGTATAGTAGACACTTACCTTACCATCACTTACTTAATTTCTATAGTATATTTTGTAATAGATAACATGTAATGGATAACATTTAATTTTTGTCTTCGAAAAATTCAATATGTAATTCAGTCTGTAATAGCACTTGTTTTTTTCAATAAATTTATCATGTATTTGATAAAAACTGTTTAAATAT